TATTAATGACCCATATAAGCTCAGGTTTTGTTGGCAAGTCAGCTGTTTCTTCAGTGTCAGTGTCATCACCAGATTGTTTACTCACAGAAGCATCAATGACCCATGTAAGCTCAGGTTTTGTTGGCAAGTCAGCTGTTTGTTCACTGTCAGTGTCATCACCAGATAGTTTACTCTCAGAAGCATCAATGACCCATGTAAGCTCAGGTTTTGTTGGCAAGTCAGCTGTTTGTTCAGTGTCAGTGTAATCACCAGTTTGTTTACTCTCAGAAGCATCAATGACCCATGTAAGCTCAGGTTGTGTTGGCAAGACAGCTGTTTGTTCAGTGTCAGTGTCATCACCAGATTGTTTACTCTCAGAAGCATCAATGACCCATGTAAGCTTAGATTTTGTTGGCAAGTTAGCTGTTTGTTCAGTGTCAGTGTCATCACCAGTTTGCTTACTCTCAGAAGTATCAATGACCCATGTAAGCTCAGGTTTAGTTGGCAAGTTAGCTGTTTGTTCAGTGCCAGTGTCATCACCCAATTGTTTACTCGCGGACACATCAATGACCCATGTAAGTTCAGGTTTAGTTGGTATGTCACCTGTTTGTTCAGTGTCAGCGTCAGTTTCATTACCAGATTGTTTACTCTCAGAAGCATCAATGATCCAAGTAGGCTCAGGTTTTGTAGGCAAGTCAGCTGTTTGTTCAGTGTCAGTGTCATCACCCAATTGTTTACTCTCAGAAGCATCAATGACACATGTAAGCTCAGGTTTTGTAGGCAAGTCAGCTGTTTGTTCAATGTCAGTGTCATCACCAGATTGTTTACTTGCGAACAAATCAATTACCCATGTAAGTTCAGGTTTAGATGGTAAGTCAGCTGTTTGTTCAGTGTCATAACCAGATGATTGTTTACTCTCAGAAGCATCAATGACCCATGTAAGCTCAGGTTGTGTTGGCGAGTCAGCTGTTTGTTCAGTGTCATCAACAGATTGTTTACTCGCCGACACATCAATGACCCATGTAAGTTCAGGTTTAGATGGTAAGTCAGCTGTTTGTTCAGTGTCAGTGTCATCACCAGATTGTTTACTCTCAGAAGCATCAATGACCCATGTAAGCTCAGGTTTTGTTGGCAAGTCAGCTGTTTGTTCAGTGTCAGTGTCATCACCAGATTGTTTACTCTCAGAAGCATCAATGACCCATGTAAGTTCAGGTTTTGTTGGCAAGTCAGCTGTTTGTTCAGTTTCAGTGTCATCACCAGATTGTTTACTCTCAGAAGTATCAATGACCCATGTAAGCTCAAGTTTTGTTGGCAAGTCAGCTGTTTGTTCAGTGTCAGTGTCATCACCAGTTTGTTTACTCTCAGAAGCATCAATGACCCATGTAAGCTCAGGTTTTGTTGGAAAGTCAGCTGTTTGTTCAGTGTCAGTGTCATCATCAGATTGTTTACTCTCAGAAGCATCAATGACCCATGTAAGCTCAGGTTTTGTTGGCAAGTCGCCTGTTAGATCAGTGTCAGTGTCATCACCAGATTGTTCACTCTTAGACACATCAATGATCCACGTAAGCTCAGGTTTTGTTGGCAAGTCTGCTGTTTGTTCAGTGTCAGGATCAATGATGGATGCGTCATCGGCTTTTTTGCTTTCAGAGTCATCTACAATCAATGTTAATTTGGGTTTTGCAGGAATGTCAAAAGTTTGTTTACGTTCAGCATCATCAATGACCCACATAGACTTAGGTTTAGTCAATGGGTCACTAGTTTGTTCAATTTCAGAGTTATCAATGACCCATGTAAACTTGGGTTTTGTTGGCATGTCACCAGTTTGTTCACTGTCGGCAATATCAATGACCCACGAAAGCTTAGGTTTTATTGGCAGGTCATCAGTTTGTTCAATCTCAGCATCACTGATGGTCTGCTCTTCAACATCATCAACATCACATATAGTTTGATCAATGGCCCAGGTAAATGTCTTGTATGACTCAACATCTGATGTTTTCTCAACACTATATTCTATAGAGAGTTTGTCAGATACAGATACAACGTCAAGTGATGCTAAATTAGATTGTTCAGTGACATGAGCATCCTTCCTTCGAGTAAAGTCTGTTTCCACCAGTGTGTAATTGGACTTGGGTGGTGCAACATCACATTCACTAACCCATGATGATGATAACTTAATTGGTATCTCTGGTTCATCCTTTCTTTTTGTTTCTATTTGAAATATTACAATACAGATAGATAAGACAGAAAATTGTACAGTAAGCGATAATTCTCTTTTTTTATGGAAGTGATTAGCAAGTTTTAAACATGCGCATCGTTGATTGTGACTACAATGATCTGATGAGATGGTGCACTGCATGAATAAACAGACACTGCTTTGTTTAAAACTTTTTATTTCAAGCCATACAATATGTTTAAAAATAATGGTTGTAGAATAATCATTTTAAAATGAAGAACAAAACATGTAAAAAGATGGTGTGGATGAAATAATGTGGCAGAAAGTGGCTCATATGAAATCACTTTTGTGTAAGCAGTGTATATGCTGATGCAATGTATATTAATCTCTGCGGCATTGCAGCTTCAGTAGCAGAAAACTTCTTTCCAAGTGACTGTGCTGGTGAGCTGTGAAGATGTTTGCATCACATGCAGCAAAGTCTCACCATTACCTTCAAATGCTAGACTTGTAGTAGAAACTTCTCTATCATTAACAAAGCATGTATACTGGCCTTCATCATTAAGGTTGACATCTTTAATGACAAGCACCACTTGGCCACTTTTATCCACAACATCATATTTTTCCTTATCTGACAAATCAATTCTAGACCCATTCTTGAACCAAATAATGCTATCAATTTCATCAGATGCACAAGAGCTTTCAATTTTTATTTCTCTCATTGTCTGACTGATCAGCTTCTCTTTTCCCTTGATGGTGATAAAAGGAGGGAACAAACTCCCAAGAGTAGATTGGTCTTTATCTTGTGGCTTTTCTGTCATAGTAACTCCATCAGCAACAATAGATCTTAATCTTTGTGGTTGAGATTCTAAAGTAAACATTTCACAACAACATCACAATGACGAAAATAAAAAAAGAACAGTCAACACAATAGAAACAGATAACAATTATACTTAAATAATTGTACCTTCATCTGTTGGCATGGTAACCACTTGGGTAACTTCATTTCCAACCTTACAAGAATATGTTGATAGTTTATTTTCTTCCATATCCTTCAATACCAAGGCAACATGGCCTTGAGACGTTGTGATAATATATTTATCAGAATTGGTAACATCAATTTCTTTGTCATCTTTGAACCAAGTGATATTGCTGACATCATCAGATGGTATATCAGTGTGCAAAATAACCTGTTTCTGCTGTTGGTCATCTAATGATGGAAATGGTCTAACTTCATCGTCCTTATGCTCTGAGTGAGTAAAACACCAGCATTATAACCCTTCAGCAGAGCAATTTGAAAGGGTTTTCTCAAATGTGTGTAATTTAGTGCAGCACGGTGAACTGAAGGATCTCTTTAAGTGATTTGAAAGGCACCGTTGAGAATTTGTGTAATGCAGTGCAGAATGGTGAATTGGAGAACCTCTTTAGGTGATTTGTGTGAATTTGTGTAATGCAGTGCAGAATGATTTTCATCTGACTTCATACTCATCAGATACAAGAATACTAAACTTCAGCTTAACATCACTCTTTAATTTGGAAGGCATAGCTATCAGACTTTCCCTCACTATGCCATGAAGTGGCTCTGGGAGAATAGGGTCAAATTCTTTTACTATACCAAGGTTGCAAAAGAGAAATTTGCATTAAGTGCTTGGCCAACTTTTCTCAACTCTGAAGTGAATTAAAAGTATGGTAGTGTGAAGGAAAGTGTGCAGTAATGATGTGTGAAATTGTGACAGAGATGCTAAAAAGTACAGCAACATTTGTGTGTAAGTTGCACATCCTGGTGCTCAGTGAGAAAATGTACTTCAATAAACAGTATGTACAGCAATGTGAGGTGATCGGGCATGAAGTTGTGCAAGAGATTTCTTGAAGATTTGTATGTAAGTAATACCATAGTGATGCGTGCTGACATCCAGTGTGGTGATCAAGACTGCTTCAGGAATGATGGTTGCTCCTTAGGTGCTAGATAATTAGTAAAGTATCTCAGAAGATTAGGGAGTGATAAACGTATCACAATGCATCTGAAGTACCGGTGCTATGAAAGAATATTCATACTACTAAGTGCTGATGATCCAGTGTGGATGATGATGAAAACTGGATGCAGAGTTTTACCTTCTATCACAAAACTGCCAACAGACTTCTTATTACCAACTTGACAAGAATATGTAGATTCATCCTTTCCATCTAAGTAATTGATGACCAGAACAGGCTTTCCATCTTCTATCATTGCTTTGTAATTTGTAGCAATATTTATATTGAGTTCCTTATCATCCTTGAACCACTTCACCATGTCAGGATTATCCACAGGAATATTACACACAACTTTCCCTAATAACTGTTCCTGCCCAGATGGGTCTTTAAGTATGTGTTTAGTACATAAAAGACGTGAATCGTCAGCTTCTGTAAGTGCAATTCAAGCCTCCTCAAGATTAACTGAGAGTACACAGTACCTGTTAACCAATCTTACATTCTATATACAGTATAAAGGCAATTGAACTGGGATCATATGATCTCAAATTAGAAATTTATTGACGAGAAGAGTACATGCCGTTCTTCACCTAACTTTAACTCCACTTGACACACAAGAACACTTACCTGATACAAAAAGTCCAGCTGTACTTGTGCTTGAACCAACAGAAACAGTGTAGTCACCTTCGTCTTCAAAGCTCACATCATGAATGATCAACGAGACTTTACGTTTGGCTTTTAGCATTTCATACTTGTCTCCAGGAAGCAATTGTTCATCATCTTTGCTCCACGAGATGTCATCATCAGAAACATCTTGGTTAATTTCACAATCTAGCCTTGCAGTTTGGTTTTCTTCAACGTCAGTGTCTTTTAGTTTGTACAAGAATTTGACAGGAGCTGAAAATGCAATAATCATTCTGTCTAAGAGTTTATACTAAAATAGTAGGGGGTAATATCCCATGCTGAGTGATTTGGTGTTGAAAAATCCTGAATGAGGAAGTGTAGTGATACAAGATGCAGGAGAAGGTATACTGTAAGTAGGAGCTGCAAAAAAATTAGAAGATCAATACATATAGATGTCATTAGAGTTGGACATCACTTATTGTGTGTTTATAGATAATCTAGAATGGAGGTAATAATGATTGTTAGACATGATAAGCATAAAAACTTATTTATCATAGCAGTTTGAATGTAGTGTGAACACATTCACTACAAACAAAACTAGGAGCTAAGTCCAAACAATATTTGTGCAGATAATGTAATATAGGTTATGATATTCACTACCACAGCATTTTACTTTATCTTACCTTATCTAATGATTCACAATTATTACATTAAACCACACATGTGATTAACCCATGCGTCTTTACAACTAACCCATGCCTACCTTCTGCCTCTTGTTTATCATCCTCTTTTTCCTGTATATCAATGGCAGCCACCAAGACAGGCTCAGCAATTACCTTCTGTTTTGTTGATTCACTTTCAATTTCCCAAATTTCTGATTTTAAATCAAGTTAGATATAAATACCCATACTATACATACCTTGTTCATGCAAATATCCCAAATCACAGGCATTAGATATACAGTATGATATTACGTTTTTTTAACACACATTTAATTATATCTATGTCAACTAATTAATCTATTATGACATGTATTTTGGTAAATTGCCCAAGAATTGCGGAAACCACAAAATTCAACTCTAACATAAAAAACCTTATAATCTAGAAAACCACACTTTTAATTTTTTTTTACATTTTTATATACAATTTATTTATCTATTCACTAATTCAAGGCATTTAAATTTAATTTATTCACACTTTTGAAGGCATCTTCACTTAGAACCCAGTAATTGTAGTTGTCAACTTTGCATGCATTAGTAACACAGTATATTTCTTGAACCTTTATACTATACTTCACGACATGCTTCAGAACCAACACAAAAAAAAATTTCATTTAGCAAGAAAGAAATCTTCACACACTTTCGTTTTCACAATTTACAGATTATTTATAAAGCTCTTATTTGACTCCAACCTTTTATGACAGGTTCACATACTGCAGGTTTTAATTCAACATCAACAGAACCTGGAGTAAGACTTTTAACTTCGAGGGAATCTTCATACAGAGCCTCAACTTGACTTGGTTCTAAATTAATTTGACGTTTGATATAATATGTATTTTGATTAATGATGGATTGACTTTGCATTCAGAATAACACAGTATTAAACTAAAACTTCAAGGAACAGTTATCAAATAATATTCATATAGACACCAACATCAAACATTTACTAGTAAATAAATTAACCCCAAAATTATATTTTCATATAATCATGCTAATTGTTTCTCAATCTAATTTAAATAATAGTTATTTATTAAATTATTATGGAAATTACTATCAAAAATAAAAATGAAATATTGTACAAAAGTTTTTATTAAAACAATAATCCAATTTAACATGATATTTTAATCTGGCTCATTAGTAGATTTATATATTAAACTTAATAAATGATTTTAAGAATTATTTTATCCTTTATCTACTTATAATTATTATTTAGCAAGATACCATCATTTTTATTGCTAGACTTACCTTGTACTACCACGTGAGATGAAATCTCAGATTCTGTCCTGGGACTATTTTTTTCTAATGACTCAGTTAAAGCTAAACTACACTCTTCATCATCCATCAGTTTCATCTCAATCTCCCCGTCAACCACCTTATCATCATTATCTACAGTTTTTTGAAACGTTGACTTTTGTTTATCAGCAACATCATCATCTAAATGTTCTTGGGGAGATAGTATAATTTCTTTTTCTTTTTTTTCTCTCAGTACAGGAGGCAATTCTGTTGTGACACATTGCAATTTGACAATCAATAATTATTTATAGTCAACTAAAATTATAAAAGCCACGATTTAGAAAAACATAGTGGATTTGACATTAAATTAATATTTTATTTTACTGCTTAAATTACCCACACAATTTGCTACAAATAATTAAACCCAATTCACTGTGCATTACTTTTTAAAATTACTATTTAACATTGCTGTTGATTCTCATAATCCAGCATACCTGTTATATTAACCCTTTTTAACCTTTTCACCACCAGTTCCCTCTTCTTGTCATCACAAATTCACAAATAGTCAGGTTTGTAGTCTGCACTTTCCTTCAGAAGACTGGGACAAAAAAAGCCTAAATTTGTTGACTAAAAACTGAACACTGACTCAAATTTTTTCTGTTGGCTCCAAAATTAGGATTTATTTCCAAAAATATTGAAGCAAATAAGAAAAAAAGTGCAGAAAAACTTGGGCAAGGAAGCCTGGAGACGAAAAGGTTAGGTAATGTATAGTGAATGATCAGGAGTGAGTTACAATCTTGCTCATGATATTCACAAACACATTTTACTATTTACATACACACACACTTAATATTAGGATTCTGGTTAGTGAAAGCCAACAAGTAGAATATCAAAGCAGTGTGTGGATTTACCTGATACACATCTCATTATTTATATTATGTGACTTATACAAACCTTCAACGCTGCAACATTATACTGTACCCATGCAATAAATAACTTCACACAATTTTACTAAATATCATCTACAGACCCAGTCAAAAGTCTGGCAAAAAAAAAAGATTTTCCAGGGCATAACTCATTGCTAAATTTGCTAAATCTGTGCACAGCAAACAAGTTTTGCATAACAGTCAGATTACCTATGGTAGCCTCCTCTAGGCTTGTGACTGGTGCACAAACCACTGTCACTTCTTCAATTTCTGGTATAGGCTGAACTTTGTCTATAAAGTTTAAGACCATATGGATAATAAATAAAATTGTTATACTACCTTATTTGTGCAGTGTGCAAGTGCACTACATGCAATGCATGTCTTAATGCTAGCGACCAAGTGGCAGGTCAGAATCCACACAAGGAAGGTGTTTTCCCCATGGAGAGGGGAATGGAGAGAAGGAAGGATCATGGTGACTCCAAATAAACAGCAATTGTGAAGGATTGTATAAGGAATGGAAGCATGCACCAAGCATGATATCAAATAATCAATAAAATAATGTAATAAAATAATAAAAAATCCTGCTTTGCACAAGCAATATATCATATACATGCAATCTCATATGCAGACTTTCCCACACCTTTGGCAGTAGCAGCAGAGTTGCTTATTTTGTTGAACCTTGTCTGGAATTCAGTTCCATTTCTAAATCCTATTGAGCGAAAACCCAAGTTAATAACTCACCCAAATCAGGCTCAAAGGCAGCAGTAACCTTTTCTGAGTGTTCAGGTAGATTTGCTGAATCAAGTTCACTGGCTATGGCAGCCAGAAATAACTGTTCAGAATCAGGCATATTTTCAATGTTAATATCTGCATTTGATGGCTGAAGCAATTTTGATGAAGCATCGGCCTGGTTTTCCAGTTCAATTGCTGATTTACTGCGGGTGGATTCCATGGGTGCAAAAAGCTTTTCTATGAAATCAACATGCAAAAACATAATAAAAACATGCACAACATGCAAGAACAAAGTAGGCATGCAAAGCCACGTAAAAAATATTAAAATAAAAAAGAAATAAAATCAGCATATGACATAAATAGCATAATGATGCTGCTATTTGGGCAGCAATTTATTTTTTTTGGAAGGGAAGGGGGGTCAATGCTTGTCACCATCTCACCTTCAACAAAGAGTTCGGCAGTGGTACTAGTATCACCGACCACACATGTATATTCTGCCTCGTCTTTGACAGTGGCGCTCTTTAGACACAAAGATCGACGTCTACCAGATGATTTAAATTCATATTTGTCATCATCTGGTTTAATCTCAACACCATCCTTTAACCAAGACACCTCAGCTTTTTCATCTGAGACTTCACAGGTGAGTTCAACAGCTTCATTTTCAACGACTTCAACATCCTCTAAATCTTTCACAAAGTTATACACGACTACATAGTATAGAAATACATACAATACAATGTCACACTCAGTCTCCAATCGTTTTACATGCATACACTTGTGCAATCTGAGGAAACAATGCAATTTGTACCATTCTTTATGTATGGTTATTATATTATACCAGAGGTACATTACTTGGGGTTTGCAACTACGGTGTCATGATACCAAGATCCCATTTCAATCTCGCTCTCGCATAAGCGTTCCAACTCAGAAAGATGCAAATGTGCATGCCCGAGGTAACTAGGATACTGGAATGTCCAGGTGGATCAAAATAGTTGCTCACGATATGACGGATTACGATAACTATATTTTCTGTATGTATTATATTTTTTCACTATGAATGTGGTAATACATGTTTTATTGATTATTAAAAACCGCCTAATTCATGTCAGAAGGTCGTAGCATCAGTCTCGCTATCTACGAGATGAGACTTGAATGGGATCTTGACATGATGTCACCATACAGTAATATGTGCGTTGCAAACCCCAAGTAATGTACCTCTGATTATACATACAATGTCCCTAAATAGAAGAATAGTATTTCTTAAATATTCTATTAAAAAATTTTGGTCAGCACTCTGGAACCATAAATATTAAACTAGTATTGTAGTAAAAGGTCTTACAGACTTACCAGACATTTTTTTAACTCTTTTTTTTTAATTAATTAATTTTAATTAATTAATGTTGGTACAAACCACATTATACTCCTGCAACACACTCACTGTGAAATTCACCTTAAGGCCATGCTTACGCAAACTACGCTTATCTTTTCTACTGTCCACAAGTTATCTGTTGCTCTTTATTCTTGTTTGAATGTTGATGTGATTATAAAAGAAATTGATAATTATTTAACGATTAGTTCCACTTTGTCAACATCATATACATGTGTACTGACAAAAATGTACTGAGTAATTTAATGGACAAGTATGGCCAATAGCACCTGTGATTATATAATGTGATTTTCAAAAAGAACAGACACCTGTAGGCAATTGAGAACACTACCACACACATTGTATTTGTTAACCTACAACTAAAGTTGTCAAATACAATAAGCAAAAGACAGGATTATTTCTCTAGAAGTAGATGTGCAAAGTGTAAAAGCACTGACTGGCAATGACTACAATTAAAACACAAGTGAGCATGCCCTGTGATGATTCACCTGTACCAGTGAACCTCTTACTAAGAGAAATTGATGCATCAAGAAATCACACAACACATCAACACACATTCCCATGCTCTCATAGTGTAGATACATTTGTGCAGGAAACTTGTGCACATGCCCATTTAATGGCACACATTCTGCTGACATTTGAGGCACTGTGAGCATGTGAAAAAATATCTAAGTTAAACATGTGTCTACATCACACTCTCACAAAACCAGAATAAAATGTATGTTTAACTACTTGTAGTTATGAAGTAGAAATATGACAATGCATGTGAGTGTGGTGATTGAATTATAAATGTTTTTCAAATCGTGGTAGCACATTGACAGCACATTGGTGGTGAGTCCTGGGTTAACAGCCATGCTGCCGGATCAAGTTGTACCTAATTCCATGAAAGATTGTGTGGTCTTATATGATTGTGAGTGCAGTACATATAACTGTGAGTGCATCACATATAACTGTGAGTGCATCACATGTGACAGTGAGTGCATCACATGTGACAGTGAGTGCTACGTGTCCGACAATAAAACAGTGTTTTTATAGGTGCTTTGCTAGAAAATGTGTGGTGCAACGTTGATGCATGCCAGATGCTATCTTTACCTTCTTCCGTTTTTACTGCTACTGTCAACTGTGGGGCTGCAGAAACTGTCTCAATTTCAGCTTTGGTGGGGAGAAAAATGAAAAAGCATGTAGTACCACACTAAAACATTTAGTAACATTGCATGTATACATTACATTGCACATTATATTATTTTAATAGGACTCCACTATGGCCATCATTAAGTGTCAATGAAATTTAAAATCGCAAACATGGAAGGGCTTTATAAGTAAAATTGTTTCATCTTCATAAGGCAAAAAAAAACTGATGTTGCCCTCAAATCAGAAAATTGAGAAATTAGGTCGGTCAGTCAGTCATTTTTTTTTTTTTCAAACTTGTGAAAACTAAGGGTATCGTAAATAGCCGAGGTATACGGAAATCAATCAAACGCATGCTAGATATTAAACACAAAAATCAAAGTGTTTCTTTCAGTCCTTTGTATTTAAATACAGATCAACTGGAGGTTCAAAGTTGCCACTTATCCCACCGGGGACCCGGGGGATCAAACAACAGTCCGGGATCGTAAACTTTTAAAGGAAACACTTTTTACAGCTTAAAATGGTGAGCTTTTAATATTTGGGCCTATTAAAAAAAAAAACGTGATTCATATTTTTCGGTCGGTCGCTGAGAGCAACAAAACTATTTTTTTTTTGCCTAACAGTATAATTAAACACATAGCTAGTGAGAAATCCACAAATTAAAGATAAATATTCTCTCAAATTACCTTTTACAACTTCAACTTCAGGTTCAACAATTGGTTTAATTTCTTCTTCTATCTTCTTCTTTTTCATCATTTCTATATGCTGTAGAATGACTCTAAAATCATGGATGCCATGTTTTCTCAGAACCAGTTCATAGTCCTTCACAGGTACTCCAGCTAGAAGTTCTTCAATATCAATATCTTCAGGTTTTGTTTCAACCTTCACCTGAGATGGTCTCCTAGTAAAATAACAATTTTTAACATTTGATTATGTTTCAGAATGAGATATGGTTGGGGCCACAAGTGGAGCAGGACATGCTCACCTTCTTTGTTGCATACTTATCCATTCATTCACTGGTTTGACTGTTTTATAAATATTTTATGTCTATTGGTTGTAATTGTTTTGTGTTTCTATTTTCCCATAGCAACTTTTGAGTACTGTAAAATACTTTATTTTCACTTGGAATTAATTTTCGCTAATTTTGCTGAAGGAATGATTCAGTGAAAATAAAATCCAGTTAATATACCATTTTTTCTGTATTTTACAATCAACTCGTCAAAAATCTGTGAAAATAAATTCCATACAAAACATCCAAAATATCTTTTCAGCAAAAATTAATTCCAGCTAAAATAAAGTATTTTACAGTATGTTAATTCTATTTTAGAAGAACTGAGCAAGAAATCGGAGAGTGAACAGAATATAGTGACTGTGGAAAGGAAATAGGATGGCCTAAAAACAGAAGACAAAAAAATTATATCCTATTTCTACTTTCCAATAGTATGCAAAACTCCAAAATGACACTCAACTCAATGTTTCACTTTGACTTCAATTAAACTAGATTAGTTTTTAATGAATTTGAGTTGACACAGTTATTATCAATGATTTCCATTAAAGTTTTTTAGACAAATATTCACTTGCACTTATGCAAACATGTAATTACCGGTACATACATGAATCATAACATCACAAAGGTTTCTAGCAACATCAAATTACATGTACCTCTTCAACTTCTTCATAAACTGTGGTTCTTCAGCTGGTTTCTCCTGCACCATCAATGACACAGGGACTTTCTGCTCACCCATCTCATTGACAGCTTTGACAGTGTATTTGCCAGCATCTTTAATTGTTGTTTTATTAATTATCATTGTATGCTCTTCAGTTTCTTCATTGTATGTTATTGTGTATTCATCACATTCTGTGCACTGCTTCCATCCTTTAGACCATGATATTACAGGTGTCGGATAACCACCAACTTTACAACGGAATTCAGCAGGAGAATCTGTCAAATGATTTGATATTAAATAAATCATGGCCCATCAGTGTGCATGATTTTTTAGGGATCTTGAGTCAAAAATCAAGTTGGGTAATAATGTTGACTGATGAAGAAAAAATCAAGACAATGTGTGGCTGTAGGTAACTGTGACGGAGCCCAAAAAATGTTGTAGCTGCTTCTTCATATTCACATTTGTATGGGAAATGTTAATTTTACGTTAACCAAATTGTATTATATTTATTTTCAAAGTATATAAGACTTACCTTCGACAACATCTGCAAATTTCGGTTTTTCTATGAAGAATGGAGCAATTTTAGCAGCTGGAAGAGAAAGGGATCATTTACATCAAATTTAAAATGTTATCTCTGTGAGGCAGATTGAGCTCACATCATAAAATATCAATAACAAATAAAGATGTAAAAAACACCACAAATTGCTTGAATTTGCAAATTTGAGAGCAATGACGAATATTTATAGCAGTGAATGAGGTTCCTACACACAGCTAAAGGCACCTTTTCTTTGGAATGCCCTATTTTGCATAATTTTTCCAAAAATATAGACTAAAATTAGCGAGTAATTTTGTGAAAGGTGACATAAGTTTAATTAGACAATCAAAAGATTAATAAACAAATTGAGGAAATTATCTAGCCACAAATTCAACAGTTCATCTTACGTTCAACGTCTAACGTGGCTGTCGATTTCTGGTCCTGGAGCATGACAGAGTACTCTGCCTTATCATCAAATGCCAGATCACTGATCACAAGCTTTCTTATCTTTCCTTGTGATACTGAGGTATATTTTGTTTCATCCAATGTAATTGGTTCACCATTTTTCAACCATGTGACTTTAGCTCTTTGGTCAGACACTTGACATTGGAATGTCCCAGTCTGTTTTTCTTCTGCACTTGCATCATGAAGTCCTTTAGATATCTCAAATGGTGGTACTAAAAATAACAAGTATTATACATAAATCATAAAATACAGTATGCCATAATAATCACACTCCTACCTTCAATTGCAAGTTCTCTATAAAATGATGCAAAATTCCTAAGATAGTGTCAACATATAACAATGTGAGGTGAAAAAGTTCCAAATACTTATTAGGGAGACTGTCTTCAGCTTTGATTTAAAGCACCACAGTCATGTCATGTTCAACAGTGGTCCCAATGCATATGATGCATTTAAAAAAACACTGTTAACAAAAAATGTGAAAGCCTGCTGCCTGATAAATGTAACTCTTTAAAATATCAATTGTAAAAAATAAGCTTCTTCTTGAGGACATTAAACAAGATCATGATAACATTCACTAGATACTCACGCTCAACATTCATTTTCGCAGTGGAAGTTGCATTGCGAACTTTGACACTAATTTCGCCTTCATCCTTGTCGACCACATCCTTCATTACAATCGTTGCCTTGGTACCAGAGACCTTGATAATGACATTACTCGTCTCCTTCAATAGTTCATTATTCAAAAAGAATTTCACTTCATGTTTCTGGATTGGCAGTGAAAATTCACACTCGTATGTAGCTGTCAGATGTTCTTTGACAGTCTGGTCTGTCAGAGATTTGATGATCTTCACTGGTTCTAAAGAAGGGATAAAGTATGGGCGGTGTAGTTATATTGCTGACTGTTGACTAGAAAATACTGAAATACAAAACACTATTTTTCACAAGTGTTTCCTAATTGGCTTGACAGTTAAGTATCAAGTTTGAGTGGCCAATCAGGAACAAACTTGTGAAGCACTTCTTGCTCACCAAAAAATGCAGCAAGTTGTTTCATGATTGGCTTGCTAGTTTCAGTTGGATTGTCAGATAGGTATCAGGGTTGAGTAGCCAATCAAGGAAATCTTGTAAGGCTCAAATTACTCACCAAAATAAAATTCCAAGGTGTTCTATGATTGGCTTACAAGTTAATTATCAGGGTTGGGTAGCCAATCATGGACAATCTTGTAAAGCACTCCTTTACAAAATAAAGAAGGAGGTCTTTCATGATTGGTTAGGTATCAGGGCTTGAAAGCCAATCAGGGACAACCTTACCAGTCACTGCTAATTCATCAAGCAAAGAAGCAATGTGTTCCCTGATTGGATTGTCATTTAGGTATCCTGGTTGGTTAGCCAATCATGGACAATCTTGTCATTTCTAACTCACATCTATTAGCACAAGGTTGTTGCATCAAACATTTGTTGCTAATATGTTAAAAGATCAAAGTTAATAGTGATTAAAACTGCCTTGCGTACAATCAACATCCATGAAGAAAGTTGGTTGAATATATATTACCTAAAAGTACATGATGTACATAATACAGACATGATAGTTTTGATTTTGTTCAAATCAATATATTAGTCATGAGTGTGTGTAATAACATAATGTTACACAATATTTTAGCTACTGTGGAATACTTTTTTTTCGCTGGAATTAATTTTCGCTGAAAAGGCTTTTTGGGCGTTTTGCTTGGAATTTATTTTCACTGATTTTTTCATGAGTTTAATGTGAAATATAGGAAAAAAAGTATATTCACTGGATTTTATTTTCACGGAATCATCCCTTCAGCGAAAATAGCGAAAATAAATTCCAAGCGAAAATAAAGTATTCTACAGTATATCAGACCAAAGATTTATAAGATGAAGATATGCAAGTGATATGATATGTAATTCAGATCTCACAAGAATTTAAGAAGTCACACAAATTGTGAGATAATCACAAAATCACAAATATACATTTCTAGAAATATTCAAGCAGATGAGTCTGTGAAAGAACTGATTAGTGTTCTTCTTAGGCTGGCTGTTTTTTTTTTCAGTGCCCTTACATACAAGATTTCACAAAGTGTGTATTACGTATGTATTTTGTTTTTAAACATAGCAATACACCTATTCATTTCTATTTGTTCTAAAATATTATCTCATTATCACTGTACATGGATATCAAAGCTGATACCCTTACCCTGCTTTCTTATAAATCTTTGACGGGATACATAAATAGTAACAGTAACCCAGGTTATTTATGTTGATAATCTGGAAGATTATGTGAAAAACAGACACATGTTGTAGCACATCAACATTGAAACTTTTTGAAATTGAAAATCAGAATTCATGAGCTTGTAGACTCTGGATGCCCAGAAAGCATTTCATACATGTATATTTTAGCAGTTGCCACTATTTAATGGGACAAAAGCCAACTTACTCACATGTAGTTTCAAGCAATATCAGCAACAAGTAACAGCATGTACGTTTTTTTTTTTTTTATGTCAATATTCACTAAAGATTACATAATCAAATGCCTGCCAATCAGCTCAAATCGTATACACAGACTAACACATTTTACACTGACACATTTCATGCTAGCAAGTAAAATGTTGAAAGCATATAGCGAGGAGCTAAGTAAACCGACTTGTATCAAACCGACAGACAGTCTGGACAGGATAACATTACCTAAATATATAAGCTCTGAGACCGAAACTTTGTCACCAATGGCACAAGCATAGTCAGCCTCATCATCTGACTCAATATCGTGAACTAGTAAACGCCTCACATGGCCATCACACTCAACACTATATTTCTGAGAGGGTTCAATCTCTACCCCATCTCTAAACCATTGTACGACAACTGTCTCATCAGAGACTTCACATGAAAACTCTGCAGTTTCATGCTCAGTAGCTGTTACTGACTTTATGTCACTGATGGTGATATGGGGTTTTACAGGCTTCATCTCTGGAACTGTTAACAGAGGGTGGAGGGAAGAAATGAAAATAGAAATAATAAAAGTATAAAAAAAATATAAAAGAATAGGAAATGATATTACAGTACTCTTTGAATGTCATGACATTTCTTGCCAAAATTTTGCACTATTCTGCAATTTGAAT